AAAAAAAGTCAATTAAATAATTCCTAATGATATTCTGCTATATTCAAAGACTGGTGTCTAGCCCAACTGGCATCAAGAGGCTTCCCCCAGCAACTAAGGGAAACAGATGCAGAGACCCACAGTGAAACATTAGGCAGAGTTTGGAGAATCCTGCAGAAAGACAGGGAGGAAGGTTTATAGAAGCCAGAAGGGTCAAGGATTCCACCAGAAAACCCACAAAAATCAACAAACCAGGGCTCCTAAGGGCTCAGAGACTGAACCACCAACCAGGAATCCCGCATGGAACTGACCGAGGCCGTCTGCACAGGAACAGTTGTGTAGTGTAGCAGAATCTTAGCAGAATCGTTTTTATCTGACATGAATCTGGAGCGATGGCACCTCAGCTTTGAAGTAGGCTTTTGTCAGTGATTATTGTCTGAGACTTTATGGGATTATTCTTTTGAAAAATTCTCAGAGCCTGGCAAAGCAGAAAGTCTCCTATGGTTAAGAAACACCTAAGTGATGAATCTTTAAAGATAACCTCTAGGTCAGACAAGAAGTTTTGGTATTCAGAAATTGACTTGCTAAAAGTGCCTTTTGTACAATAAAAAGAGCTTCTGGGAAGCAGGCAGGATTTAGTCCTTCAGAGGCTGATCCCCTGATGCTCAGAAGCCCATATTCATCCTGCAATGGCTCTTTCACCAATCAATGTGTTGTGTAATCCAGAACACTGACAGTATAGCTTGGTCTCCTTGTGGGACTCCTAAAAGTGGGAGCAGATGTGTCTCTGACTCCTTTGCCTGCCTTTGGGACCCTTTCCTCCTGCTAGGTTGCTTCATCCAGCCTCCATATGAAGGGAGGTGCTCAAGTTGATATGCCAAGTTTGGTGGACACCCATGGGAAGCCTGCCCTTTTCTACAGGGCAGTGGATGAGGAGTGAGCTGGGGATGGGAATCAAGGATGGAAGAAAAAAAGAGGAAGGGGAAATGTAGTCAGGATGGAATAATATACGAGAGAAGACTAAATAAAAAATTTAATATTTTTCTGGTGATATTGGACATACTGTGTTAGAAATATGTGATGGTTGTTCGATATCCATGGGAGCCCTGCCTTTTTCTGAAGAGAAATGGAGTAGTGGATGGTGGGAAGGGAAGAGGGGAGGTGCAGAGAAAGTCTGGAAGGAGAGGAATGAGGGTAAATGTGGTCAGGGTGTAAAAACTACATACACACACACACACACACACACACACAAATGCAGTTAAAAATAGATTTCAAGAATGGACTGGGGGTGGGTGGGGATGGGAGCAGGAAGGATCAGGTAGGGGGATAGAGGGAATACTGGGAGAAATGATTGGAATTGGGGGAGGGGGCATATCAGGAGTGAGGTGGAAACCTAGGGCAATGGAAACTCCATGGGATGGAGAAAAGTGGCTAGGGTGATGCCTGCAGGATACGCTGGGACTGGAGCCTAGCGTATTGCTGTAAGAGAGACCAGAGAGATGGCATCTAGTAACTGATGGGAACAGATGCAGAGTCCCACAGTCAAATATTAGGTAGCGCTCTGGGAGTCTTGTGGAGGAGGGTTAGGAAGGTTTGGAGAAGCCAGAGGGATCAAGGACACCACAGGAACACAGCCCACAGAATCAACTGACTGGGACTAAGTGGGCTCGCAGAGATCGGGAACCTGTACGGGTCTGACCTAGGTCCTCTGCATGTATCCTATGGTTGTGTAACTCAGTGTTCTTGTGCGGTTCCTAACAACGGGAGCAGGGCTGTCTCTGACTCCTCTGCCTGACTTTGGGGCCCTTTCCCTCCTACCAGGTTGCCTTGTCCAGCTGTGATGTAGGAATTTATTCCTGGTCTTAGAGCTTTTAATGCTGTATTTTTATGCTGTATGTCCGTGAAAAGCCTGTTCTGAAGGGAAGTAAGGCGGGGGTGGGGTGGGGTGGGGTGAATTTGGGGAAAGGGAGCTGGAGGAGAGACTGGGAAAGGGGAGGGAGCTGAAACAGAAGGTGGGATGCAATATATGAGAGACAAATAGATAAAAAGAAAAATAAGACACCATCCTCAACCGGCAAGCGATGGGCTTAGCGGCACACCCCCCTCCTCCTCCTCCAAACGCATACTACTGAAAACCCCTGCTAGCTTTGCTTTTCTGACATTTGTAACTTTTCTACATGCACTGATTATCAGGGAAAAAAAATACTATTCTATCTAAAGTAAAACCCTTTTAGAAGTCAATCAATTCAAAGTAACCCATCTGATTGGCCAGCTTTTATCAACATACACAAGTAAGCTGATTCTAGTTAGATTATAGACACTTATTATGTAACCCCTTATGGACAGGTTTACACTCTGTGGAAGCAGTCTGACCTCAAAACAGTAAATACCAGTTCATGAGATATGAAAGAGAAACAAAGGAACCACACTGTTAAAGGAAACCCCTGCAGAGGAAGGGCAGAACAGAAAATGTTTAAAATAATCTGCAGTTTAGAGAATCTTAATTGATTAGAAGGAAAATAATATCCATTATATATATATATATATATATATATATATATATATATATATATATAATCTTTTTATTTCTGTGGGTTTTTTCTTTGTTCATCATTTGCTTTCTTGTTTAAAACAAGGTTTTACGTCATTCTCACTGTCTCTAAATTTGCTATGTTGCTGAAGAGAGCCTCGAACTCCTGATTCTCCTGCATCTGTCTCTGGAATCAGAAGCACACACTGCCACGCCAAGCTGAGATCTTCTCAATTACTCTTTCAGCTGAAGACTAGCAAGAAGTCAAGAGGCACAGTCACTCACAGTACTGTATGTCTCAGTCAGCTTTAAAAGTGTTCTCTCTTATTTGGGAGCTGGAAAGTGAGATACCCACAAGAAAGCAAGCTTGCAGATAGAATTTAACATTTAATTCTTGTACTGTTGGTTACCTAAGAGGTCTTTCTAGTCATTGTATCCATGGTGTATGGACTTTAATTAACCAACCCACCACAGTTGCACATTACAGTAGCTTCTGTTTGTTTCCTATCATAAATGGCAGTGTGACACATGCACTTCTGCATGTATTTCTGGTTATTCTGTGAGCTCCATTCTGGAGTTTACTCTGATGTAGAAGCACTACATCAAAACCAGTGTGTTTGCTAAACAGAAGGATGGAGATGGAAACATAATGAGGCAGGCTCAGCAAAGCACCAATGGCGAAACACTGAGAGGATGGGCTTCCCGTGGAGCACTCCTCCCACATCCCTAAATGGTGAAACGAACTGGGCAATGTTACAGATGGGAAAGAATGAAAAACTGATAGGAGGGTAAATGTCTCTACTCGGTGTAGATTACGCACACCATGTGCACAAGCTTAAACTCTGTCATGTCCATCAGACACTGTTAGCCTCTCATACAATCACGGCGCTTTGAGTGCTTTTCATATCTATGCCAACTTGTTAGACAAAAACTAGTGACTTGCCTTTTTAATCATCATTTCTGTTACCTTTCTAAGCTAATACGTAATGAATTGAAAAAGTCTCCTAACCTGTTTGGCTTCGGGTTTGGTGTTGGCTACTGAGTCATGAAGCAGTAATCAAGATTCCAACGACCTCCGTGCAGCACTTAGTGCTCCTAAGCACCGAATCCCTACAGACGACTTGTGATCAGACACTACCGGAGAAGTTACTCCCAGACCAGCAGCAGGACAGCCTGTTCCTGCACACATGAGAAGAGGAGCATCTCCACTAGGCAAACGGCTCAGCGGGTAAAGTGTTTCCAAGCACACACGAGGAGTGCAGGGCTGAGTCCAGACTAGCAGCACCCTGTGGGAGCTGAGAGTGGTAGTGTGTCCTAGCACTAGAGATGTGAAAAAAGAAGAGCCTGGGTCAACAGTGAGCTCCAGGTTCAGCAAGAGACTCTACCTGAGTGGAAGAGGAAAACACCTACATGAACCTAGCATCCGTATACATTCAGGGACATATATACACCCAGATACATTATAGGCACATGCACATACAGAAACAAACATGCACACACATACCAAGAGAAACATGTACATACAGACAGAAACATGTACACACAGAGAGACAGAAACATGTGCATACACAGAGAGACAGATAGGAACATGTACACAAAGACAGGAAGGGATGCAGAGAATACACACACACACACACACACACAAGACACATGTACAAAAAGCATCTGCCTTTTTACTAAGATGCTCAGAATTTAAACATTCATGATTTCTTCCTTTGTACTGAAGCAATTAGTTCCCACCAATCATCTGTAATCAGTTACAATTCCAGTGCTTCCTGAAGTAAGAGTATACAACTACGGTGTAGTCATCAAATAGAACACCATGGAGCCACTGAAGTGAACTACGGATCCTGTGTTTATTGAAATGTAAGGATGTTCATGATATCCTTCCTGGGTACCAAATGCATATACAGGAGAAACCGAAGGAAAATAGGTAGTATTTTCCAAAATATTAACAGTGTATACTAAAGGTATATGGGGAATTATTTCAGTTTTACAGATTTCCCTATTGTTTCAGAATGGATATCTACACCTTCTCTTATAAGAAACATATTAAGGCTACTTGTAGTTTGATTTAAATAAAAAAGACTGAAAGTATTCCAGAAAGCCACTAAGAACTCAGTGCTTTAATAACCTTCAATTTTGTAAATTTCTCAAGTTAATCAGATTTTTCTAAAGAACAAGACCCAGATTCTACACATTTCCAAATGACTAGAAAAACAGTCAAAGGCAGTCTAGGCACAAAGTTATATCTATATAGGCTGAGATGTCACTAGAACTGAAGGGCTCACAGTATACACCACAGCTGCTGTTTCCATTGCTACGAAGAAAATAACTCCTCAGAAATGAAGCTCACATACCTACCACCAACAGTCCTAGGATCCAAGGGCTATTCAATTTTTAACATATAAACATACATAACACAGAATGAAAGCTCTTAACATACTTCATGAAGACTGAAAAGGAGCTCATGGCACACTAAACTACTCACCTCTGTGGGGAGACATGTGCGCACACTGGCAGCTGTTCCCAGATGTGCTGTCGGAGTCTGATTCTTTATTTGAAACTGTGTTTTGCACATGTAGCCATCAGAACAATCCTGTGCTCCACCAACAAAGAAGACATGAAAAATGCCAATTAATGCCAGAACCCATGACTTGAAGAACCACCGTGTGACTTTCATTCTAAGGCATGCCAGGAGAAACAGGCACTTTGAGATATTATCACAAATGAGATAACATGGATGACCAGACTAACCCAATGTACACTGTTTACTATCTGATAAATACTAATATTATTTCCCTAGGTTTTTTTGCTTATTAATGTTCCTCTTTTAAATTAATCTCTTCTAACTCTTTTTGATCTACTAGCCCAGCACACCAAGGTCAGAAAACAAAACTTCAGGATGGTAAACAGTAAAAAAGCACTTAACATCTCAGAAAGCAGTACCATGTTGTGAGGAATGGTGTCCACCAGGAGTTTTGAGGGTTCACAGCAAGGCTGGAAGTGAGGCTCATTGTGTCTTTGATGGAAGAGATGTCATAGAGCAATATCTATATACAGTAGCTGCCCAAACTGTCTGTGGAGCTTGCATTTACCACTTCCTTATGGTACCTCCCAATATTCTGTGCACCATAACCCGAGGATGTTTTGTCTTACACTGCACCGTTCCCCTTGGCTCGATGGTTCTAGTTCTGTCTTCAGGGGTCAAAATCCTTTTCCCCAGAATGGCTCTTCAGAGGGCTGAAAACAACCACCTGATTTTCACATGTGTGTCAGTCACAGGAGAATGTTTCTTGGCCTCACACTGGCGTGTTTCCTCTAAGCATTTTATTTCTGTATGTGCACTTCTGGGGATATATGTCTCTGTGAGTGTAGAGCCATGTGTGTGAGGGGCCATGGGGGCCAGAAGTGCATGCTGGGTACCTTGAAGCTAGAATTACTCATGTTTGTGAGCCTGATGTAGGCTGGCATCAAGCCTCAGTCCTCGTGATTGAGCAGCAAGTGTTCCTAACCACTGAGCCAACCCTCCAGCCCTACTAACTGCTTTCTTCTCTGCTTTCTTATACTTGCTCTTAAAATACAGCCATGTGTAGTGTTTATCTAACTATAATAAGTTCCATTTTAAGGCAAAACTTGCTTGAATTCCATAAACGTATATGGAAGACTACAGTATCTCTCCATGCATAGATGTCTGCATGGGAAGGAATTAGTCCTCCAGCACACTGTCACCCAGCATGCTGACACCTTAACAGGATCTACATAACAATTAAGGAAGAAGAGGTTGCCTATTCTTCTTGTAAGAAGAACATTTGAAGACAGAAACAGACACATGAAATTCTGAGAAAGCCACAGGAAAATGGAGAGTAGAGGGGTGTAGCTATAGCCAAGGACTGTCAAGCACTGCTGTTAACCACAACAGCATGGAGGTGACAGGTTCAGTCTATGAGCCGTAGAGGGAACATGACCCAACGCCTTGATTTCAGCCCTCTAACCCCCAACAAGGGAGAGAATGCCTGGTCTCTTCCCGCTTCATCTACTCATCTGCTGTGCAGTATTATATTGTGTCACCTCTTGGGGGAAAAATTACGATCACCATAATTGTAAAGAGAATTAAGAAGCTGGGAGATAGCTCAGTGGCACACTGTTTGTCTAGCACACAGGCCCTAGGTGTGATCCCTAGCACCCCAAAATAAATTTAAAATTTTTTTAAAAATTGTAGAAAGATAGATGTGGTGGAAATGTAAACATATCTTACAGCACGTTGGGCTGCCAGCCTGCTAGCCCTTACTTGGAAGCTTGCTACTTATGACTCCATTCTGAATGGCTGGATCTAATTCATCTGATTAGTTAGTACTGCGATGATAGGTTATTGAGCATGCTGAATATCATTCCTGACTGGAAAGTACACTATCAAATATCTAAAATTATTACTTTTAGTCATTTCATAAATTTTAAGCATTAAATTATCAGAATTATTGTTTTAAATTTCATATACGTCATCCAACCTATACTATCGAAATCCCTGTATTTGGACAATATAAGCTTAGGTAAGACAGCAAAGTGGCACACCTCCTATCTAGCATATATGAAGCTTAGTTTGATACCCAGCACCGAAAAAAATTAATATTTGCCAAACAGCACATAAATGCAATGACCACATCATCATTACTACTCAGGTTGATCAAACACTCACTCTGCTTTTGGAACAGTAGCCAATTTTCTTCTAACTCCTTAGGGAAAGGAGCTCTTCTTTTGTATAAAATCCAGACAGTAGCTCTCCAGCAGCCATCATGCAGTTAAGTAGACCCTGAGAAGGATGCTAACAAGTACTGAGGAGTACCTTGTACAGACAGGCCAATGTAAAAGCCCAAGAACTATCACCCTCAAGCTCTCAAGTCTAGTGGCCTAGGCCAGGACACAAGGTCTCACTGGTCTCCCCTTTGCAGTAACATTTTCTGTTCCAGTCAATATTCTTCCCTTGCTTCCCCACCTACTTCTTATGTTAACCATGGTTTAAGATTTAACTTGATCCATTAGTGTTGGGAGCCGACTCCTAGCTGAAAGTGGCTATCATCTTTGCAGCCATCTCAGACCATCTACCCTGACAAGAGACTTGTTTTCAACAGCCCGAAACAGCTGAGCACACTCTGATAAACATCTTGTTTTTCTCACATATCTTGTTTTGCTGTTTAGTGCCACCAGCTGCAAGGCGCACGTGATATCCACGCTGCTGGGTGCACGTGGTCTCCTCACTGCTAGCTAGGTGCACGTGATATCCACGCTGCGAGGCACATGACGTAGTGCCTTCAGCTGTGCTTGTCCACGAGGGTAAGGCGCGTGGTAAAGGGTATAAATACCCAGGATTTCCTTCCAATAAACGAGACTTGATCAGACTCCCTGTCCTGTCTCCATTCTTCGCGTCTCTGCCCCCACTCTCTCTCTTGCTAGGCCCTGACCCGTGGACCGGAGCAGCAGAACGGGCGGTTACAAAGTGGCGCCTCAACGTTGGAGCTCCAGTAAGCGGGGTACAGTGAAGGACACAGCGGGAATTGGAAGCGTGCATCCTCACTCCTGCGCTAGAAAACCTGCTGACTGACCCGAACAGACAACGACACATTAGGCCAACTAGTATTAAACTCTTAGTTTTCTTTCTCCTCGTAAATTACAATAAAATCAGATCCACTTCTTAGAGGAAGCCAGCCTTTCAATTGCAGAATCCAGACTACCATTCCACATAAAATCTCCATCCAGGTAGCCTGGAAAACCCCCAGATCATCACAAGAGGATGAAAGAACACAGGAACTACACATCTCACCCACTTCAACTGCACTTTTAGAGAAAAGGGGGAAGGGATGAAGCATTTTCAAGAAACTTGTTTTTCAACTCCATAAGGACAGACATAGGCTAGTGTTTACACTCGTGACTGATAAGCCCCACCCATCCATGAGTGTTCTGGGGACCAGCAGCTTTACCATCACCTGAACACTGAACATGGTTCACAGGCCAACCTCGGGCCCCTGAACCAGTAATTTCAGGTAAGTGCCATACATATTTGGAAACACTGGAACAATGTACAGTAAAGCTTTTACTCAATGATATTGCACCGGCATTCATTCTCAACCCTAGCTGTGCATGAAAGTCTACCCCAGTGTTCTAAATGCTGTGGTTGGGGCCTGATCTACACTGATTAAGCCAGAGCCAGTATCCCAACAGCTTCTAATGTAGTGCCAGTATTAGGAACGTTGAGCACCTAATGAACTCAGAGCATTAAAGAAGTAATCAATAGCTGCCTAGGAAGAAAGGAGGCAAGACCTTGATGAAGACCCTAACTTACAGGGACCTTTCCAAATGCTGAAATCAACCTCACTACTACTCACTGTGAAGGTTTCACCCAACACATGTGAATATACACATACACCACATACATACACACAAAACAATAAAATAAAAAAATAATAATAAAATTTATCTTTAAAAAAGGAAAAATATGCTGCACAGAATAAAAAATCAAAGGACAAATATAAAAATGCAAAAAAATCGAGCTCTTGTCATAAAAAGGTGCCAATCCACTCAATAAACAAACAGCTTTAAATTCTTTCAAATGCAAATTGTTGCAACAAATAGGGGACAAATGTAAGATGCAAAAATTAGCTCTTGTCACTGACTTCCTCAATATATAAACAGCTTTAAATGTCTCAAAATGTAAATAGTTATAACAAATCAATAAAAAAGACTAACAGCCCAAGGAAAATGAGGGGAAGATAGGTGGGAATGTAGATATACAGATAGATAGATAGATAGATAGATAGATAGATAGATAGATGGATGGATGGATGGATGGATGGATGGATGGATGGATATATCACCAACAAGGGAATACATGTGGATAAAAAGATGTTCAGCATTAACCATAATGAAAATGCAAATTAAAAATGATGTGACAACATTTTGACCTGTAGATCAAAAAACAATGATGTGTACCATACATGCAAATTTATGGGTGAAACAGGCAGGAGTCCCCAGTACACTGCCAGGAGAAAAAAAATTAAACCAGTATTATATCCCTGAAAAGCAAGTTAGCCAAAGCCACTGAAACTTAAAATATACTGCTGAGTACGGTGGTGCACATCTATAAATGCCACATAAGAGGCAGAGGCAGGTAGATCTTTGTAAGTTTGAGACCAGCCTGGTTTACAGAGAGAGTTCCAGAGCAGCAAGGGGTATATAGTAAAACTGTCTCAAAACTTAAAAAAGAAAAGGGGAAAAAATGTATAAACACTGGAATCAGAAATGCTACATCCAGGAACTTAATCTTATAGATATAGTCAGTCACATCTGCAGAAAGAGAAATTCATGTGTTGACACTAGTTATAAAATTCTGTTTTCATGGCATAAGATCTAAAAATTCTCGAATAATCATCAATGAGAAGTGGTAATATAAATTTTTACATATTAAAACAATGACATTCTTCACAACCAAAAAAAAAAATAAAAACCTTGATGATTGTCTACAAGTATTGCATTGAACATTATCCAAGGTAGTCTCAAATTTTCTTCAAGCAATATATTAGGTATAAATATATATGTTATGTGTAC